TAGAGGATAGAGGACAGTTCCTTCTCGGCCCTTCCAACTAGAGCCTGCTCACAAGCTGACGAGATCCTGCCCGCAGGTTCACAAGCTATGAAATATTGCAGTGGAGTGCATCTCGAAAGAGTGTCATTTAAACGAAAACAGTCTATGAGTAAAAGTAAGTACACGTCGAAGAGATAACTTAGTTTTGTTTCGCCCATTCATTTTCAAACTTCGTCTGAATAAATACTGAGCTGAACTAAGCCAAGTCAAGCCACAGAGACTCAAACTCAGAGAAGGAAAAAGGCGTCTTACCAAAAGCATGCTTGGCATGGTAATCTCGAGGTACAAAACGACTTGCCCAGTGCGCAAACTCGTCTATATCCAAAGTCACAAACACCATTTCATTGTACAATGTGTAAGCTGATTCTAGGAGCTCCTGAAAAAACACACAAACAAAAAAATACGGATGAAAGATATATTCTTCTTCGCAGCCGTTAATCGGCGTTGATCACGCAAGGTGTTCTCTTCCCTTGGTCCGGCAATGTGCGTTGCGTGACATAACCCAACATCGGCTGCGAGTGACATTACCAGGGAGACTGAGCTATTGACGAACGGCATAGCAAGCATGGTAACGAGATTCTTTGGTCGTTACGTTTCCTCACCTTATAAAACGAGCTGTCTTTCGATATGTTGTTCTTGTGTGCCAGTGCGAACAGTATGGGCAAGTTGTGTGCATAAGGTTCGAAGTTCGCATTCTCTTCAGATCTGAAAGGAAAGAAAATACCCACTATTAAAGGAGCTATCGAAATGACGGACTGAATTAAAAAACGTCTCCCCACGCTGGTGAAAAAAAAATCAAGTTTGAAAATAGTCTTTGCTTTTGCGAAGGTTATTCTCAATAAAACTTCTGCACCCACTCCGACTTTTCCGACATCAACAGCCCCAACCCTGTGACCCGTGAGTGATAAACATCTAACTTCTCCCCAGAATCAAAACACACGAGGAAATGATCAACAGCTAAAGAAGCTCTTGATTGTTAAACAAATTCTCCTTGTCAGCGCCTTGGGAAATGTATAAAGAACAGTATGGAGAATATAAATGCTGATGTTAGGGTGTACAGGGTTAACACAAAAGCCCCTTGCCAGTCAAGCGTAAACCGCACTCCTAAAATAATTTTTCCTGACTATATCCTTTCCACCATGGCAACCCACCAACCGCTTATCAGAGCAACGGGTGACATCACATTTACCAACCCTTGGGAAAACTTGGGTGACAAATTCAGGACTGCTTTTGATTTTGCATCTCCAAATTCGCAGAACTCAAAGTAAAAACAACCAAACAACCCAAAACGTGGGCGACCAAGTTGTGATTGGTTTTAGTTTTGCATCTCATTGGCTGAGAGAGTGGCGCGAGTTTTCTGGACCAATCACAGAGCAAAAAAGCAAAGCAGTCCCGAATAACTTTCGAGTCTAAACTTACCCCAACTTGGTGTGAAACGCAGCTGAGGTCATATGAAGAACTGGAAGTCTTCGGTGATCTTGAACAAAGCGCAAAGCAATATCTGTGCATATTTTGTGGTTGTATTCACATTTGAAGTTCTTGGGCATTTCGTATCTGTAAATGTATGAATTTAAGAATCCTAATCCAGAAAA